ACTCTACGGGGTCCTATCTGCTAGTATCCACAGGATGAATGCAAAAACATGGGCAGAAATTCGGTATGAAGTGCACGGATTTGTATGGTGAATCACGTTGTGGGCTTTGTCGGCTGTGACTGCACTAGGTAATACATTTGGAAGTTGATTTGATTCAAACTCGTCTGCTGGTCCATTGTGTTTACAGTGGAAAGCCCTCGGACTCCCAGGATTTCAGAAGTTTTGCATGTGCAGAATCAACGGAATGTAAGTTTCATATTGTGAGATTTTTTAATATTGCTTACTGGTTTAATTAAAATCTTATAAATGTTTTTGCTATGCGTTTGGAGGTTGTAGTCAATACTGCTGTTCGGGATCCATAAATAATATAAGAATCTGGCTCCACCAACAAACCTATTGACAAAGACTTTGCAGCGGTTGTGAAACTAGTAATGGAAGGCTATATGTTGAGCAGATCCGACTCGATAGAGGAAAAAGTAGATGGTGTTTTTGCATCTGAACAAATATGGACAACAACACAGCGGACGAGCAAAGCGTAGAAAAACAATACGTGAGGCTCCTCTCATGGCTGACAGTGACAAAATTGACAAGATGATGGAGATGCTTAAAACATTGACTGACAAAGTGGAGACCATAGAGGCTTTTGTGGGATTAAGGCAGGAGAGGTTAAAAAGCTAAACCCGTTTAAAAGTTCTGTTACTTTTGGGGGCTTTGACTATATGTTTTATGATTCATAGGAAAAAGATTCTGAAGATGGTGAGGATAATAATAAGCAAAAGATCATGAAGATAATGAGGACAACAATGATGCAAAAGATCCTGAAGATGGTGAGGATAATGATGATGCAAAAGATCCTGAAGATGATGCACATATTGATATTAACGATACAAAATATAATGTTGAAGATCATGGTAAGGATAACGATGAAGCAAATGGTAATGATGGAGATCACACTGGCAATGGTGAGGATACAAATATTGTTGACGATATTCATGAAGAACATGGTGGTGACGGTGAAGCTACCAATATTGTTGGCGGTAATGATAATTTATGTCATGTGAATCTGTTCTTTTATAAAACCAACTTTAAAAACACACAATTTTGTTCTTGTTTTGTTGTACAGAAAATCCTTAAGATGATGAAGGTGATGATGTCAACAAAGAAATTCCTGTAGATGATGACGATCATGTTGATGAAGATCAAGAAGATGATGAAAGTCATGATTCCCATACATCTTCTTTCAAAAATAAAAACCAATGTGGATTTGCGAAGGTATTGCTTTGGGAACACCACTGATGGATGAAGATGTTAACATTTAGTTGCAACAAGGTGGAGCTCATCCAATATTCAGTCCATTCCAGCCATATCTTCTATCAAGGAAGGCAAGATTGGATGAATGGAAGAATACAACTAACCCAAAATAAGTAAAGTTTTCATATATGTTTAGCTTAGTAATATGGAGAGATTTATATATATCTTTTTAATGTAGGATCTTGAAAAAAATTCTTGGACATGAAGTATATGGTGATTGGTTTATTAAACTCCAGACACCAAAGACTGTAATGACTAGACAGGTAAAACTAGAATTTGAATATGAATTTGACATCAAAAGATATCATTATGATTTACATTATAAATCATAATTCTTTTTGCTTGTGATATAAATTTATGAATCCTACATGTTGCAATCTCATTCACTATGCATTTGCTTCGGCAATCTCATATGCACAAATAATTGATGTGCTTTTAAAAAAGTTTTCAAAGGGTGTGAGATATTCTAAATAATTCACTATTAAAAAGCATCCAAGAATACCCAAGGTATGTTACTCAAAAAATGACTTTGTTTTATATAAGTTTTTGGCTTACTAATCACAAATGTTTTACTCTAGGTAAACAATTTTCAGGACACAGGTTTATATACTTTTAAGTTTATAGAGTGCCATGCGAGTATGATGAAAGACATGTCTAGTCTCTGCCTTGCTAATATTGAACAACTGAGGATTAAGCTGGCGGTTAACTTATTTTGTGAGCTATTTGATGAACCTTCTTCAGATAACCATCTCAACGATGCAGCTGCATATGAGGTATCGCTTGAGTTGCATAGTGAGAGGAAAAATTCAAAGAAAAAACTACACAATGTGGATGGGCCTAGAGAGTGGGAGAAGGATAAACTGAAAGTGGATGAGCCTAGAAGCTCTATGAGAAACAAAAAGGCTAGAGTATGAAACTGTGTCTCCTGGTTTTTGTAACAAAAGCTCTTTTGCTTTGTTTTACAATTTCTTCAGTTCAAAAAAGCTTCTGTTTTACAATCTCAATCTTGTAAGCTTCTTATTGGTTGTTTCCTCCCTTTTTTTGTCATAGAAGCTAAACTGCTAGTATGACGGCTTTTGTAACATACTCTTTACTCTCTTGTAATATATTGAAATTTTGGTCTTTGCTTTATCCTACTTACAAAATCATAATTTACAACCTCATACTATCTCCAGGTTGTAAATCCAAAAAGTATACATTTAAATCTATTTAAAAAGGATTTTAAAATATCCCCAGGTTCCTCAACTAGAGAACGAGTATCTATGAGGAGCTTTTAAATCCAAAAAATCTACATTTAAAACCATTTTAAAAGGATTTTAATAGAATACCAAAGTTGCTTGAACCAGGGAATAAGTGTCTTTTAAGAAGCATGTGTAACCCTCAAGGCTGTGGTGTTTTAGTTGTTATAAGTATGAATTTAAATGTATATATTAGGTTTTAAAATCTACATTTAAAAACATTTAAAAGGATTTTAAAAAATCATGAGGCTGCTCAAACCAGGGAACAAGTATCTTTTAGGAGGCGTGTGTAACCTCCAAGTCTGTGGTGTTTTAGTTGTTATAAGTACAAATTTAATTGAATATATTAGGTTTTAAAATCTACATTTAAAACCATTTAAAAAGGTTTTTAAAAAATCATGAGGTTGCTCGAATAAGGCATTATTAAAGATTAGTGTTTCAGTTCGGACTCGGGCATTATTAAAGATTTGTAAATTAGATTTTAAATCTTTATAAATTTTGTGTTGAGATTTTAAAAACATTTAAAAGAAGTTTTAAAATGTTTATAAAAAATATTTTGGATGCTCGAACCAGAAAACTGATGGTAAGGAAGAGTGCATATGTAACCCCAAAGGTTGTGGTGTTTTAATTGGCATACCAATAAATGTATATTTTTATATAGTGTATATATTAATTTTGTTAAAAAAAAAAAATCACCGTTAACTTCCTCATCGAGATGTGGGGACAAATCAAATCTCGATGTTATGATTGCAAAAAACTCTAATCGTTAACACAGATCGATTCGATGCTCGTCTGTACAAATCGAGTCGATGCTCATTGGACTCACTCGGTTTCAGATCATAGATTGGTGAATTTCTGGCATTTGAAATGCCACCAAACACCAGAGAAAGAAAACGTGTCGATATGAGGTACTCGTTTTATTTAATTGCATTGAAACAATCAATTCTTCCCTTTTAACTGATTTTATCACATGGGGAAGAGAAAGAGTCGATACTTAACTTCTCAACCAAAATATACTCAAAGATCGAAACTAATGAACATATACAACTTTCCACAAGAATTTTCTACACCGCTTCGTCTTTCTTTTATATATACTGATTTCCCATTTATTTGCCGTCATTGATTCTACATGTAACATGGCTACTTCCACTGTTTTGAAAAATCTTCTCACCGAAATTGAAAAGCGTCCTTCTGACTTTTTCTCAGCAGGTTTTGTTCAGTGTTACGGCTGCGTTTAATGTTTAACGATACTGGTTAGGATACATAAGTTTTATTTGGTGTTTTGGGTTTGGATTCGTGTTTTGATTATGGATTGGTGCTTTGGTGGATGCATTACCAATTGTGGTGAGATTATGTAAAATGTTTTGTTTAGGTCCTGTGGATAACAATATCTTCCATTGGGAAGCCGCAATCAAGGGACCAGAATATAGCCCTTATCTTGGAGGAACCATCTGTGTCAGCATTCGTTTTCCCCCACAGTATCCGATGTAAAATGTTTTATTTTTTCATACCAACTCATACTCTTATGCAACAACTTTTTATGTCTATGTTTAAATCTATCAGGGTTTCTCAACATTTCAGGTCATTTTCAAACCAAAGTGTTCTGCCCAAATATCTCTGACGCAGGAGTTGTTTATCTCTACATGCTGTCCGAAGGATGGAGTCCTGGTTTCACCCTTCTTGATGTATGTTTTTCATATTCTATTTGCTATCATTTGACTATAATATTGGCAGTCATGTATATCTATTAAAGCAACTTTCTAATTTTATGGAAATAGATCCTAATGACTCTTTGGGGAATGCTCCTTACACCAAGAATGGAGCTTCGTGAAAAGGTGAACGAGGAGACTCTGGTGTACATCTCTGACAGGAGGAAGTTTAATGAAATAGCTATTGAATGGACTCGTTCATATGTTATGGTGTAAGGAATTCATTTTTTTTATGACCACTTGCTTCCTATTTTGTAATAAACTGTCGAACATCCTAGTGATGTTTGTAATATTTCAAAATTACATTCATTATAAATAAATCAAATTCGTTTGCTTTACTACTAATGATGATGGTGTTTTTAAATTGTTATAAAACTGAAATAGTTGCTTCGAATGGGGATATCATGTACAAACTGCTCTTTATATAGATACAATATTTTAAAAAACAATTAAAAAGGGCTTTTAAAAAACCTAAAGGAATTACAACTTTGAGAAGTGTGGTGGAACCTCTAAATGCTCATGGTGTAACCTCCAAGGCTGTGGTGTTTTAGTTATAATACTAATCATATATATAATTGGAGAAGTTTCTCTCCATATAAGGCATCCACGTCAGCAACATAATTCACCTAAAGTGGGCTTTTATTGCCAGTTTTATAGCCCAATCATATATATACTTTTTAACATATTTATAGCCCATTGTTAACATTGATACCCTTATACCGCCATTGTAATTTACATTGAAATGGGTTTCACATTGCAAATGGACTTCCCACTTTTTCTATGGACAAATCATATATCAATCTTATAACTAGTAAAACAAACAGCCAACAATGCGGCGTCTTCTCCTTTTGTGTTAACCAGACAACTATCATCTCCTTACACATCTAAGACGTTATTGTTTCTTACACCTATTACTATGAAACATAATTGACAAAAATCCAGATATATGCACCCTTCACCTTCCTACAATCAAACATTCAAGATCAACCGTGGGCAAAACAACTGTTACCCTTTCTTAAATCTATAATAACTCTTCATGATTGACTTAACTCTCTCACACTCTTTGATTTTGCCCGACTCTTCCCTAGCCTTCATCAATTACACCTCCTATGTTACCTACAATATGACTATAAATAGTTCACCCTACACCACAAATCACTATAGCTTCACTCGCAAACACTGCCAACCAAAAAAACCAGCCATTGATGTTTTCACCATTCCTGCCAGTGCTAATTACACAACTTTAGAAGATCTTCGTCTTGACCGCTCTACTCAACAAGTTGTTGGCAGGCTAATCTGTTTCTGGGATGCTCGCAACATCAACAAAAATGGAGAATTTCTGGGAATCGTACTACTTTTCCTCGATGAGAGGGTAAGACTTCTACTTTACTCACTTGCATTTCTCAGACTTATACACTAACACAAACACAATACTTACTTATTCTCCTATGTTCATAGGATTCTATAATTCATGGATTCATACCTGTCTCACTTGCAAACCAATACAGTCAAACATTAATTGAGGATGCCATTTTCAACATTGGAGGATTTGAAGTTGGCATGTGCACAAAGCTATACAAGATCACAGACCATCCTTTCGTACTATGTTTCATCACCTCCACCACAATTGCTCAGGCACCTAACGCCAGCCTTTCCATAACGCATGAAATTTTTTTGCTCTGCAACTCTGACCACCTACAAGCTTTGGCGAACACAAATCACGAACTCCCTGGTATAAAAACCCAACCTCTTTTCAATTATACAACAATGACTTTTATAAAAGATGATTACAACACTCATTCCATAAACTCAGATATGGTTGGCCAAATACATTTTGTGCAAATTTAATAACCCAACTTCCACGCAACGCTTGGTGGTGCGGTTCCTTATTGATACGTAAGTCTACAGTATCTCAATATTAGTGTACGACTCAATAATTAAAAACAACCAAACTAACACTTCACATAAAGTTCTAACACAACTCTGTTATTGTCTACCTCTCTCTCTGGGATGATGCGGCTGCAAATTTTTGGGCACATCTTACCTCTGGTCAAACAATAAACTCTGTCATGGTCGTCACTACAGTTAACCCTAAGCTCTTCGGCTGTCTGTGTCCTGATCTGCACTTTACTATAACTATCAAATTCTAAATATATTATTCATATAACTCACATACCACTGCATGTTATCGCTTTTCCAGGTAATTTATACCTCAACTTCACAGCAGCAGCAAGATTCTTCTTACACACAAACATCCATGCCATCCAGCAGTTCACTCAATGGTGAGAACCCATGATCTATCTGTTACAGCTATTGCTCAGCCACTTATCCTGCAAAAGAGTAGAATATAAAAAATAACATACTACCAATACAGTTACACTTGCAAACAACGCAACCACGCATCTTACACACATATTCACTTACATACTGCCAACTAATATTATTTCCAAATATTCTGCATTTATCCAAACTAATCTTACACCTTATGTCTTTCACATTGCTTTTAGGATGGGAATTGAAGCCAGTGAACCATTTGTGCGCACAGAAACAAAGGATGGACTTCAAAAAAAGGAGAAGGTATCAATTGCAGAACTATATGAATCTGTCTCCAACTCTAATGAGCAGGTACTTATGCAAGAGGCTCAACTGTTTACCAAAACAATGAGTCCAAACCACCTCTAATCCCTAATCTTCTTGTACAATACTCATGCAGACACAAGAAGCTGATTTCCTGTGCAAAGCACGAGTCGTAGGTGTCTTGCAAAGAAACGCTTGGTCTTATGTTTCATGTGCAGGATGTAGCCGTAAATTAAGCAGATATGGGAGTGACTTATGGTGCAATAAATGTGTAGGTCGAAATGTGGCAGGTGTTGCAAGGTAAAAACTACACGAGAGTATCCTATTTCCACGCTTCACAATATCTCTCCTACTTTTATAACACAGCTCTACAATACAATGCTAGGTACCGAGTAGAGCTGGCGGTTAATGATGGTAAAGCCAATGCCACATTTGTTGTCTTTGACACTGAAATGATGAAGCTGACAAACAAAAGCGCAGCTACTATTATCCTGGAAAGCGTATGTGTATGTCCCCAGAAATCCATAATCATAAAGCAAGTGATTAACAACAAATGGTTCTAATCATTGTATGGTGTGTATCAGCAAAAAATGAGCTGCCACAATGTCTACAAGTCTTGGCAGATAAGGAATTCATTTTTCGAATCCGTGTAACACCATACAACTTCACTCTTAACCACCGCAATTTCACTGTCTTAACAATGACTTATGCCACCACATTTTGAGATGGATCGAAGATATTAGACATATCATTCTTAAAGTATAACATTAGCGAAATAGATATTGATTACTACTTTACCAACTACACTCACCGCAGGGAATCAACAAAGCAAACACAGAAGTCGACAGGAAAGATATCCTATTAAACAGTTCTAACGACAACCAAGTTCCTCACACTGCATCCGCCTCTTCATCATACACAACCCTCAATCCAAACTTTAGTGATGATGAGAATACCCTTAAACGTAGACGTGAGAAGAAGACTAAAATCATGGCCGACGTTCCCAAACTCCGTTGATTTTATTACTTAATGCATTTTCCAACTTATTCTAAAAGTTCTCCACTTAAGAACATTGTTTGCAATCTTTTCTCAGTTCATGTTCACGTGCTCACACAAAGAACTATTTCAATATTAATAACAATGGAGACTTTGTCGGCGTATTCATATATTCCATATTCTCCGTCATTGCAATAGTAAGGAAACATAATTGAAAGGATACAACAGGCCAAAATGATTTGCTCATCTACGTACAACATTGCCGTAATAAGAAAACTATTACCATGAATATATGAAGATGTCGTAATTGATCTTTGACAACTCTTCCAAAATGAATTATGCGATTATATTTATAGACACATAACTTAATATGAAACTGTAATAATTATTAACTCATTGCACCTCTATATTTCTTCCACCTATTAAATGCAACCAATGCAAACACTTTAAACAACGACAATAACGCACCAAGCAACAGAGGATTCTTTGATCACTCCAACAACTGTTATGAAATGATTATGTCAACCACCACCTATCCGGAAGGAATACACAAACTGCTAATTAGATAATATTAAGATCACAACTTATAGACATATAAAAAAGACATACTTCAAGAATAATACTTTTTAAAAAACTTAACTATGTTAACCATGATATAAATAAATATAGACACACATATTTAAATTCATTATTGCAACAGTGGCATCCAAATCATTGCCACGGCTATTATAATTGTAATATACCATCATAACGTCTAGATAAATAACATGAATGCAGAAGGTATAACACTAACACTTACTAAATACACGTATTATTGACAATAAATAATATATTACGAAAGTTCAAAAATCCTACATTAATCACGAAATGAATATATAAATCACACTCCACATAAATCAGCCCATAGAAACAAAACACTAAGAATTACAGAAAATGGATCCCAAAAAACCCATGTGAGCCGGTTAGAAAAATTACCTGAAGATTTGCTTGGTGAAATTTTGTCTAAAGTCGGTTCTGATTCTCCAGTGGATTACCACAACTTCATCCTACCATGAAAAGAAATACGCGCTTCTTCTACTGATAAATGAGTTTGTCAAAAGCTCAGCCTTGCCCCACTCCTTAAGAAACCTAAAGCTGCAACAATTACCATACCGTGATGAAGCATTGTCTTGCATATAACAACAAAGATGCACACTACATCAAAGGTACTTTAGAATATTTTGTCCAAAATCAAAAATACCATAGTTTGCATCATCTCTACAGTGCAGCTGAAGCGGGCACACGGACGGAACGTATTTGCTTGGTTTGATTCTTCTATGCACCGGCAATACTGAAAAGGAAATAAATATTTAGCGAAACTGAAATGGTTTGAAGACATCACTATCATAGACAAATGCTGGGAAAACCTCAAAACCGCTTTGCGTGAGATTAAAGAGGTCAGAAAGAAATAATATATGAAAGCACTTAAATAATTGACTCCCCAAAAATTCTGTCACCGAGATGACTTAGACAATACTTGTGCCAAGTGTTTCTACTACAAACAAATGTATAAGTTCATCCATATCTACATGAGGTAACTCTCTCTTAGACACACAGTTTCTCTGATTCTGTTATCTCATCATGCTTATTTTATAATATAGATCTTCCCCATATCACATCTACATTTATTTGTTCTCATACAAAAGCAAAAATAAGGCTTCATGGTTAGTGTTTACACATGCGTACTGAGAAGTTACTCACACACAACTCCAACAAATGGCAGGTACAAATAAAGAAAACTCAGGTGAATCTTCAAAACATAGAACCATTTTTGTTGTACCTGAACTATTTTGCTAAAACCGTATCTCACTTTCAGTCTTCACAAACTACAATAACTACAACATATATCTAACCAGTTTACACAACACATTCCATCAGAGGGAGACAACATTGGGTACATAAAGATGAATCTCTCTCATAGTATAAGCAAAAAGGAAAATATAAAGTACATAGTCTGAACTGATAACACAACCTTTATTTATGTCTTAAAATATATATTTTTACCCAATCATCATAACACATATCAAATGGTTCAGACTTCAAATTGTCTTACTAAATGATAATAAAATGCTCATAAATATAACATATAGAGATACTTCTAAAGGACTACATACCACTTCAAATAGATACCAAATATAGTATAATTACTGAGTAACTAATTCACAAGTATATGAACAGCCGAGAAGGACAAAAACACTCCAAAATTAAAGGCTCCTCTTAAATTTTTTTCCCCTTAAACAATGGCGCATGTTCATGTTTAAAAAAGTGTTACCCCAATTATGACAATTAATATCCCAAAGAAATCCAATATATAATACACAAGGAAGTAGAAGATGCATCCAAATATCCAATTAATCAAGATAACACACCCAAATATGAGATTCAAAACTCCTGGGAAAAGAAAACCAGATTCAGATATGACAAATCCAACACAGAAAAGAAGGGAAAACAGTCTACTGCAGTGTTACATAGCACCTTAGCAGCTAAATGTAAGTACTCTTTAACCTAGATTCATAACAAGTAACAGCAAAATATATACACAAATGTCAACCGTCACTGTAAATCTAAAACACTTCCCCATTCTATATGAATTACAGGTACTTATCGATGAGTTACAGATTGTGGATGCTCAATCTGTCAACAATTAGGTAATATTTTAAACAATTATCATCTCCTGGTCTGCTGAATTATGATTACCCATATTTGCTACTTCAAAATAATGCAGTGGAGCAAAAGAAATCAAGACAAATGTGACGAGCAATCCTTCTGGCTAAAAAAACCAAAATAAGACTTCATGGTTAGTGTTTACGCTTACGTACTCAGAAGTTGCTTATAATTCCTAAACCATTAAAACATAGCTTAACAATGCATCTAACTGCCAACTCAGTTACTCACACACAACTCCCGCAAATGTCAGGTACAAATAAAGAAAACTCAGGTGATTCTTCAAAAGAACCGTACAAAAATGGTATGATACAATGCCAATTCTGTAATACTTTAATGTGGAAACAAGAGAAAATGGGGACACCAGGCCCAAACAGAGAACCACTATTTAATATATGTTGTCAGCAAGGAAGAGTTCACCTCCCAAAAGAGCCACAACCGCCACCATTCCTGAAAAAGCATTCAATCGAGTCGACTCACTATCAACAAAATATCAGAACATATAACTCGATTCTAGCCTTCACGTCAATGGGTGCTCAAATGGATTCCTCTGTGATGCACAAAAACAGACCCTTCACTTTCAAGATACATGGCCAGAATTACCACCGAATAGGTTCGTTGGTGCCAGAAGAAGGAAACACCCCAAAGTTCGAACAACACTACATCTTTGACACTGCCAACGAAGTGCAAAACAGTATTTCGACCATTATGAGAACCAGAAAAGCAAAGGAGTTGGATAAGAACATAGTGAAGGACGTGATCAGCAAAGTTGATAAATACAATTGTTTGGCTAAAATGTTCAGAAAGGCTCGAGACGTGTATGAATATGGTGACTTCCCAAAGTTTAGCATCTGGCTGATTTCCCAAAAAAAGGCGTGGGAAGCAATACGATATGCCAACAATGGATGAAATAGCTGGCCTAATTGTGGGTGAGTTAACGAGTGCTATCGGTGAAATAGATGTTGTAGTAAGTCACAAGTCATCTGGAGTACAACAAGTTAGTAATTTACACACACTGTTCATGACTTTGCAGTACCCTCTTCTCTTTCTATACTGTGAAAATGGATACCATGAAGGTATCTCTATTGTTGTGAGAGACAGGATTACTCGAAAGAGGACATTCATCACAAAGAGGGAATTCAACTTTATGCCTACCAAATACAAACTAGGCTAGATGAAGGCATGACAATTATTAGATCTAGGCGTTTACTTCATTAATACATTGTGGATGCATATACAGCGATAGAGAAAGAAAGGTTACGTTGGTACCGACTAGACCAGAAAAAAATCAGAGCTGATCTTTACAACAATGTCAAAGATGCTATTACTAGAGGGGACACAAACGCTAAGTCAATTGGGAAAAGAGTTATCATACCAGCAAGCTACACAAGTAGTCCACAATACATGGTTGAAAAGTATCATGATGCAAGTCTATATGTCGATGGTATGGAAATCCCGATTTATTCATCACTATGACGACTAATCCAAAATGAGAAAAAATATCAAACCACTTAAAGATGTATGGAAACGATACACCAAATGACATGCCTGATTGAGAGTGTCAAGTGTTCAAAATCAAGTTAGACGAAATGTTAGCAGATTTCAACAAAGGTCTCTTCTTTCCTCAACCAATTGCAGGTTTGAAAAAAATTAAGTGAATACAGAATATAATACCTACAGATTCAAATATACAAAATTTAGAAATTATAACTTTGAATGGTATTTTTAGTTGTATACACGATTGAATTTCAAAAGCGTGGACTGCCACATGCCCACATACTTCTATGGCTCAAAGGAGATTTCAAAAACCCAACCAAAGATGACATAGATAAGATAATATCGGCTGAGATTCCAGATGAAAACGAAGATCCGGAGGGTTATCAACTAGTGGAGCAACATATGATGCATGGTCCGTGTGGAAAAGAATAGCCTTCATCGCCATGTATGGATAAGGGGTATGTGGAAAGAAATTCTTAAGAGAGTTTGTGTCACACGCAACGATGATTGATTCAGGTTATATCTTAT